AGCACCGGCTTCTCGAGAGAGTGAGCACATTAGAAAACGGGAGGGCAGCTAGAGAAATTTAGGAGGAGGGCAGGAAACGGAAAGGAAAGATGGGTGCATCCCAGGGTGTGCACGAGGAAGGAAACTCACTCCCATAGCCCAGAGGAATGAGAACATTTCCATTCACAGCTGTTATGCAACGCAATTTCAATTTGTGTGCGGCAAGAAAAAGTGGCGCGGAGCAGAATATTAGGAGGCTATTTGTGTCTGAAGCAGTTCAACTTTCCTGGAAGCGAACGTTGGGAGTTTCAAATCAGAAATGGCAGTTTTGTCATGAACTGCTTTGAGGACAAAAATTTCCATTTTAGTGTACACAGTGACTGGAATCCGTGTGCAATGGAAACCCAAACGCAGCAGCTAATCCCGCATCTGGAACAAAGCCGGACCCCAGCCGAGAGGGGTCAGATTATACAGTCCCACATTACGAGATGGAGGGAGAGAGAAAGCACAAACGCACAGAGAGACAACAAGGGCAGAGAGAACATGTGTGCTAATCTCCACCACTATTGCACACTCCAGATGTTGGCCTAGTAAACCCGATTCAGCTGTGTCACTTTGTTTGATGCGTTCTATGTTTCATCCTCTCGGCCAACGACAAATCATTACAGGTGGGTGAAACGCGGGGCTCTTTCTTCTGAATAACTGACAGCGTTTATTTGAAATTAAACTCGAGACAGATGTCGAACTTGGCGGCTCCCTTTCTTTCCGACCCAAATCCAATTTGACCCGGAGAGGCTCAGTGGCACTTGTAGTAGCTTGGTTTGGACCCCAAAATGTAAACGTGCCGACAGATTGCGACCATATGCCGACCTCTCCCCCCGTAAACGCTCATTGTTATCAGCCGAAACTTGTAAATGCCAGTCAAGGCGTCCCCAAACAACCTCGTACTCCGCTTCTCCTAGCAGAAACAAAAAGCTCCTTTTGGTTTACCGAGCTGCCACGGATGAGAAATTAACCCTGCCTCGAAATGATTGAGAACCCACTTTCAATTACCTAACCATGAGAGCAATTCCTGGTTTAATGACAAAGGTTATTAGCGGAGAATGGCCCTGACAAACAAAAATAAAGCTGTCAATGTTCTTGGTCCAGGGCCAGACTTCACACATGGCCTATATATCAACTATGCGTGCGAGCATTGGTGGAAATAAACAGTTTAAACTACACCCCGATCCAGAAGACGGAGCTAGATCTGCAACGCAGATGAAACTGCGTCGTTTAACTGGTGTGATGCATCGTTCCCTCTGATGTGGTCCAAGCTTACGGTGTCAAAATCAGCGGCGATTGCTTCCAGGTCCACAGGAGGCTTTCAAATCGGGTTATGACCAAATAGGAAGCAGGTCCATTCTTCAGACTTTCTTCATGGTGAATAACTTTGCATTTGACAGAGTGTTTACATAAAGAAGCCAAGAATAGAACCCAAACATGCTCAATATTAGTTTTGTGAGATGCAGTCTGGGGACAATATGTAAAGTCAAATTCATTTCCCACTTAAAAAAAAAAGGGGGGAGGCCATCACAACATGTTCAACACATCAATTGTACTTGATGAGCATCACAACTTATCCACTCAGCAAGTTAAATGAAAAAAATATATAAGTACAACTGAAACTCCAACCATACATTTACAAAAGCGGCATAAAATTCATCAGCCAAAGCAACAGGACAAAGAATGACATCCATCTCTAAATGAGCCAACTGGGTGTTTTTGCTGTTAGGTCCATAGGGCACAAAACAGATGGAAAGATTTCCAGTTGTTTATCTGATCAAACTGATGTTTGGCAGGTGTGCCTGTTAAGCATTTGAGAACCTCTCAGTCTTATTTGCTCTTATTCTTAGTCCTATTTTTAGAGAAGGCTACACAGATGGTATTTTATTTTGATGCATATCAAGATAAATGGCTTTCAATGTCATTTTCATTTTCATTTTTTCATTTTAAATCAGCTTCCAAATGCAGAGTTCAACCCGAAGTATCCCGAGACACATATCCAGCTCTGTCGCACCCCCCCCCCCCCCCCCCCCCAATTGTGACAGCAGTGTTCTGTCTTGTGACTGATGCAATGGCTCCAATACTGTACACGTGTTAAGGGGTTCGGTTTTATATCCAGCTACTCTACTCCCAAAGAGCACGAACAGATCATATCGTAAATTCTATTTACCGCTTTCCGTTCAACGCCAGAGGCAGATGCAGCCGAGGCGAGCCAGCCGAAGTCTGGTCTTCAACAAATAAATGCTGACTGTGCGCCGTGGAGTTTGTAGGTTCCCATTATCCCGAATGAGGGGACACATGGAGGTGGTTTTGTCTGCCGTTTGGCCCAGTTCTGTCACTCTCACTCCAGAGTCTCCACAGATACTCTTTCCCCTTGTCAGGAGAGGCTTTCATAACAATGGCCGCTGCCTCCCGTTGCCATGGAGACACCCCATGTAATCATATTCCCCATTTTTCTGCGTTTGCTTACCTGTAGCGCAGCTCCCCGTCCCCCTACATCCGCTCTCCGCTTGAGTTACAAGCAGCGAGCCCGGGCTGACCGACCGTCTCCGAGCGGTCTGGCCGTACCGGTTTTTTTGGACAACTGGTCAAACCTGCGTCAGCACGTCTGCCGCGGGATCCGTAAAACAGATGTGGAAGACCCAGGTGACCTCAGGGAAGCGGAATCGGTGCGTGTTGTTGGTCACAATCAAAGCGGAGATGAATCAAACTGTCACAGGCTGATCGAAATTACAGCTGGAACTGTAACTTTTCTTTTTTTTTATCTTTCCAAAAACCTGGAGTGGATTCTAACCTGTAAGTGTTGCATTCAGTGTTTCGGTTCTGCAGAACAGATCAACTCCCCACTCATGAACAAATTTCAGGCCAATAGCTGAGCTTTGGAACCAACTTAAAAATACAATCATAATATGTTCATCTGTTCAGTGCCAGGCCAATGACACAGTTCTTCCCCCTCTTTTTCTTGTGAGTTTAAAAGCCAAGACGTTTTAAATTTAGGGGCCGATCATGTTGCCCGGCATGCTTCTTCTTCCTTTAAACATCTGTGTCACTTTCATCTTGAGCTCCGATATTTACACCATTCAGTCCTCTCAACCATGAGGACCGCTGTGATTTGGTTAAATGCTCCCACATGACCGGCTTATTTTTGTTCTTCGCCAAACCAACGGCAGAAAATTAAAGCAGGTCGCTGATTGCTTTAAGAGGTTTTCCTCGAGTTAAAACGTGATTTTCGGTTCCGGTCAGATATGTCAACCGGCAACCCGTTGATCCTTTCAGAAACCGATTTCACACAGCTGCAACCCCACCGGGTCATTCCACTCTCAGGGTATCAACCGAGTTCATCAGCGGCTCACTTACTGCAATCTTATCTTTAAGAGTTTCTTCAATCAAGACAATAAATATCCTACAGGCAAAGTTTAATGAGTTGTGCATTATGAGCAATTACTGAGTCGTGTCAGTAAACTGGGGAAAACAGCCGTCTTGATAAGAGAGAACAACTTCCTATCCTACATGAATTTTCATTTTTATCTCCCGGAGTTGAACTTTACTGAAGAGTGACACATCCTGCAGGCGGGGGGACGTTCAGCTTTCCGTCCCAGTGAACAGCACCGATCAACAAACTACTGACAGATTTAGAAATATGGAAGAAAACCGAGGCCGAAGGGGGCACGATAAGGGTACCAGTAGGGCCAAAACGGACCACGAGACGGGAAGTCTGAACCGAGTCCTGAACAGAAAAGCTTGGGCATGTTAGCATGGCGGCTAAAACCCTCTGCAGACATCTGAGCCTCGATCCTGCTCCGTAATGTGGGCACATTTCAGCACGGCTATCCCCATCTGGCACTTCCACGGACAGCCTCTGCCAACAAGTGTGAGCCCTGAACAGGATGTGCACGGAAAGACCCGGGTGGGCTGCCCGTATAAGAAGAAGATGAGCCTTTGAATCTGTGGATAAGAGGGCTGATGATGGGGGTGGGGAAACGGCCTCAGCCGACCATCAAGACACCTTCCGCAAGATCCAAGTATTCTAATTCTTGCCTCTAATCCTATTTGTTAAGGATAATGAGCAACACGCAAAGGAAAAGAATTGGGTTGCTCTGCATTAGGGACTGACACAAATCAGGACTTCTATTTATATTTTTGTTTTTAAAGCAATTTTTTTGTAAGTTTTAAGAAGAAAAAAAAGTACAATGTATCTAAAGCGTTACCAATAAACAAATAATACGCTTAAAGTGGTGAAGAAATGTGTGGAAAAACTATGTCCTATTATCCAACAGCTTGCAGAGGAAATGTTTTGTGTGAGATTTTTCACACTCTTCTTCACAATGTCCCTACAGGTCACTTAAGTTTGGAGCATTGGTTTCTGCAACAGGGTCATTGTCCCGTTTAATGACCCATCACCCAGTTTCAGTCTTGAGCCGTGGAGCAGATGGCCTCACATGGAGACTACTTTACTGTCATTGAGTCCATCAGGAACTGCCTTCTGCCTACCAGTGTGGAGCGCTGGTCATCAACTCTTTACCTTTGCATTGACAGTTAGAAGCAACTCTCTTGAGTGTAGAAAGATGGTCTCATAACCCCAGGCCCCAGATTTAAGGGACAAAATCAGACTGTTTTTGCTCATGCTGAATTGGTAAAGCACCTAAAGGTACCCAATACCGCTACAACATATGAACTTCAACATTACCGACCGTTTCTTCACATAATTTATTTTATAATAGTTTTCAATTCGATCTTGAAAAGGTTGTTGGTTCAATACCAAAAGCAGTTTTAGAAGCTCATAAACATGTTGAGTTGATAAAGGAAGATAGATATGTAGTTAGCAACCATTTCCATATGGTGATAAAAACCTAAAGAGCAACATGTCCAATTTTTTCCAGCAATCACTTTGAAATTATATCGCTTGATAGTCACAATACCCCAAATGATAAATCACTTTTTTTTTTTCCACATCGGTCGTAAAAATCTTCACTCACCACCAGTTCGGAGAAGCGAGCGTGCAGCTCCTCTGCGGGAGGCATGGGGGCGCTGAACTCCAGCAGCTGCAGGGGGACGCTGTCCTTCAGGTTGATCTCGGGGGGCTCGCTGCTGCCGAAGCAGCACAGGAAGCCCAGGCCCGGCCGCGTCCGCTTCCTGGGAGGCATGACGGCCGCGGGGAGGGGGGGGGGG